CGAGCAGGGAGCCCGATGTGGGACTCGATCCAGGGACTCCAGGATCATGACCTGAGCCGAAGGCAGTCGCTTAACCAACTGAGCCACCCAGGCGCCCCAGCCTTCAGATTTTAAATCGTTTCGAAAAAATTATCTAAGGGATGAGTTGCTTTCTCATCCTGTCAGCTATGAGGTTAAGAAAGGGAAGGTATCCAAACCATTGTGGTTGAGGAGGTGAGTCCTGAAGCAGATGACATCTCCAACAAAGGTGAGCTGGGTGTCTGGCTCAATGGCATGCTCCACAGCAACAGGGACGTAATCTGCCACACCTGGGTGCCTCCGGTCCCAGATTCCCAAAAGCGTCACTCCTGTGTTCACTGCCTGGGCCACGTAAGTATAGTTCCTATTCCCTGGCCCAATAAGTAGCAGGTCATCTCTGAAAGGAGATAAGAAAGTAGCAGGTCATCTCTGAAAGTTCACTGTTAGGACACAGTTCTGGGAGCAGAGCTGATCACAGCATTTTCTATTCAACAGCTAGAAGGTTCAGAAGGAATTCTATGGTGGAGGGCAAGCAACAAGTGGCCAAGGGTCAGGTCTATTACCTTTATATACAGAGTACCCAGTAAGACCCCCCCCACTTTTTTTAATTAAAAATTTGTTTTCCAGTATAGCTTTTTTTTTTTAAGTAGGCTCCACGCCCAGCGTGGCTTGAACTCACAACCCTGAGATCAAGACCTGAGCTGAGATCAAGAGTTGGATGCTTAACTGACTAAGCCAACCAGGCACCCCAGTACAGCTTTTTGATAATAATACTCCTACCAGCTCCCTATGGGGGCTTTTTGTGAACTAGGGCTTGACAGATTGAAGACACCCTGAAATTCTTCTTCATTAAACAACTAGCACCATTCTGGTGTTTCCCATCCTAATGAAAAAAAGTAAAGATCAGATTCCGAGTAGAGAACATTGAGAGGCATTTACTGGATAACCCTAGCCTATCTGCACAATTTCTACCACAATATAGACATCATTCCTTTGATTCCACACCTGTTCAGAGCCAGATGAAGCTGGGTGTTGTGTGTGTGGAATTTCTCTCCAATGCTGTTATAAAACTGGACGACGAAGGTGAGAGACATGCCCACAGGAAAGGCGGGCAGAGTCCTCCCGTGGGCTGCATACAGCTTGGGTTGGCTGCTCATCCGCACATATGTCACTGGCGCCACCTGTGGGCAGGAGAAGGGCCATTGGAGAGGAGCTGCCGTAGATTCTGGAGTCCTGACCTGAGATGACTTAAATCAGAGCTTAGTAAGAAATACGACAGTACAGTAAATGGCTCTTGAATTATTAAAGCTAAGAGAATGTGGAGAGAAGTTGGAGCTTTCTTTTTAAGATTTTATTTATTTGACAGAGACAGAGATAGCGAGAGCAGGAACACAAGCAGGGGGAGTGGGAGAGGGAGAGCAGGCTTCCCTCAGAGCAGGGAGCCCGATGTGGGACTCGATCCCAGGACCCTGGGATCATGACCTGAGCCGAAGGCAGATGCTTAATGACTAAGCCACCCAGGCGCCCCTTATTTATTTATTTATTTTTCCTTCTGGTTAAAAATCCGAATCACTGTTTAGCTTTGTGTTCCAAAGTTTTCTGGCTGGCTTTATATCTGACATGTCAGTAGATTTCTTTTCCTGGGATGTGTATTCTATATGCATATCCCCAAATATGGAAATAGTCACCCTGGCCTCATTAGGGTTACCTCTCGATATGTTTTCACCACTCCTGGGATGTCATGAAAAACTGTTGTTATTCCTGGACTTCTGGCCACTCCCACTCCAGTGCCAGTGTCTGTCTGTAGAATGTTGTCAGCAGAAATCATCCATATCCCAGGTTCACCTAGGAAAAGACAAGAGAAGGCACTTGGTCACAACCTCTGATCTAAATGGATGGTCACTCTAACCTTATTCAGACTCTGTATCAGTAGACCATTCAAGCATACAGATATCTCTTTCTAGGAGGAACATCCAGCTTTGAAGATAACTTTATTTTCTGAATATCAGGCTCCCCTTTATATACCATCATACCCACAAAATAAAACAAGGATTACTGACCTTCAGAATCACAGAAGGAGCTACTTAGTTGGAGAATATAACTGTTCTTAGGGAAAAGGAAAAACTCTTTTTAACACAGGGATAACTCTCTTTCAGCTACTAATGGATATCAGCAGAAGACTGTGAGAAGGTGACAGCTGGTAGGAGAGAAGGTTTGTTTGCTTTGGCTTAAGTCTCAAGGTGGCAGAGGAATGCTACCTTGAATTTAGGTTAGAGTACTAATCCTGGCATTTGGTCCTTTTGCTTCCTCATTCAAAGTGGTATAGATTTAGGATGTCCAAGTATTCCAGAATGGAAGATAGAAGTACAGTCCTGACAAAATCTAGCTGAAGAGTCAAGTAACAGTGTTCTTTCACTGACAAGAGATTAACAATCATAAGATTGTAACTCTGTCAACCCTAAAGCAGGTCTAGCTCAATGGCCCTGGGTCCCTGGGTCCAAATCCAGATCTGAAGGTCAGTAATCCTTGTTTTATTTTGTGGGTATGATGGTATATAAAGGGGAGCCTGATATTCAGAAAATAAAGTTATCTTCAAAACTGGATGTTCCTCCTAGGAAGAGATATCTGTATGCTTGAATGGTCTACTGATACAGAGTCTGAATAAGGTGAGTTAGTGGTGGTTGCTTGCAAATCAGTCGTTACAGGATTTGGGGATCTGACCTGAGCTGAGTGGACTCCCTCTGAATCAAGCCCTAAATATATCGAATCTGGCCCCATGTCACATCACTATACCCAGACACATGGATCCAGTTCCCAGAAGAGGTCACAGAGCCACATACCACCCCCATCCAATCCTACTTGGATGGATTATTTGGATGCACACACCCAGGCAGGGTACACTGCTTTGGAATATGCCTTCTGTAAACCCAGAGAATTAATACTCATTTCTTAACCAAAGACTGATGTCCTTGCACTCAGTAGTACTTCCTAGGGCAGAAATCCTTTGCTGATCAAGAGTATAGTTTAGCCCAGTACAAGGCCAAACCTTATTACGGGGATGATATATTTAAGAGTTAGGCCTTCAGATGTCCCTCACAAAACAGTGTACTCACAATTGGTTCCTAGAACTAAAGCCTTACTGCATTTTCCTTCATTCTTTACTGTTGTTCAATTTATCAATTACCCTCCTTCAGAAGCTGGGAATAAGGTACCCACACCACCTACATAATACAGTGAGCTATGCGATCAGGAGATGAGTGATCAATATTCCTAGAGAGGCCCTCAAGATTTTTTTCTTTTTTAAGATTTTATTTTTGGAGGCACCTGGGTGGCTCAGTTGGTTAAGCATCCAATTCTTGATTTTGGCTCAGGTCATGATCTCAGGGTCCTCGGATCAAGCCCCACCCTCAGGCTCTGGGCTCAGCAGGGTGTCTGCAATTTGATTCTCTCTCTCCCTCTGCCCCTCCCCCCACTACACTCTCTTAAATAATCTTTAAAAAGGGCGCCTGGGTGGCTCAGTTGGTTAAGCGACTGCCTTCGGCTCAGGTCATGATCCTGGA